AATGCATGCATAACTACCTATTGTATGAGCATCTGTTGCAAATACATCTGCTTCTTTCGGAGTTTGTTTATCCAAAATTGTGAGCATAGTCAATTTCTTTCAACTTTTTACTCATTTTATTGCTGAATGATGTAGTCCTCAAGCAATTTTCGAAAATCCATTCTGGATGGGAAATAATACATTGGAAAGTTGCTTCTTACTATCATCGATTACACATTAAACTATGTTGGTTTTGTAGTTTACTTATATGTTTTTAAATCATACCTTAGTCATGTACGATACTTACAATAAGTCTGGTGAGCTTATTCCAACAAACAAGTGGCACAACTCAGTCAAGATTTTTAGCCATCTCGATGTTGCTCTGGAGAACCATGGTAGTAACTTTTGAGAATTGAATTGTGATATTATTTCTTCAAATCTCTTTATATTTTTGGACTTTCTGGTTTATTGAATTTTTATTTTCTGCATTAAAGGTATTGTATTGAGCAAAAATACATCCTTTTGCAACAGGATGTTAAGTGGCCCATTGGATAGCCCAAGAGAGGTTATCCCGGACCTCAGGTATAACACTATAATGTACAAAATATTAGCCTTTTATTGTCTTTTTTATTGGCAAAAAATTCTGGAATTGACTTGGGATTATAACAGTAATTACCAATGAGATCTTGTTCTGCCAGTTGCTTTATAAGCATAGTTGATGGTGTCCTGGGGGATTTTGAAGTATGAATAACAATATCATTTTTAACATGAACACAAGCACTTTGAAAGAAAAGGAATTAATATGGTTCTGGTGAGACATTTTGGAGAAAAAAGATAGGCAAAGGGGTTTTTTTTTCCTAAATAGGTTTGAGTGTATGAAAAGCTTCCATGAAGAGAACTGATGCAGCACCTATTAAAAGCAATTAATGGAGGATGAGAGAAATCTATAGATAGGAAAAGGAATTAAAAGCAGGAATGACAGAATAAGAAAATCAAAGGAGAATAAGAAAATCAAGTGAATCCCTTCCTCAGAGACTAGGAGAGCCTGTCTGTCACTATAAGTGTGTATTGAAAAATTCATGTTCTTTTACATTACATAGTGGTCTATATTACCACATTTCTTTTTGTGCATTAAATATGCTCCAGTATTTTCTGAAGACTCAAAGATGCAAGTTTGGTACTAGGTGCAAATTCAACCACCCAAAAGATAAAGTAGTCTCCCATGTAGATTTCTTTGCCCAGGTTTAATTTCACTCACGTATCATCAGGAAACGTTTTAAATCAGAAAAACACACCTATCAGTCTGAAGGCAGCAAACCACGCACCTTCTTTCCCAAATTCCAGCACCGGCGATTCAAACCATGGTCGCGGGCTACCACTCTTGGCTTCGACACGTCATGGGGAACAAGATGCATATATGGGTCTTCATCAATTTCGTTCGAATCAACCAATTACAGTTCATAAGCATGGTACCCTTCTTCAAACCCTTTCGATTAAGCCATCAAATTTGCTCCAATCTGAAAATCAATATGGTGGAACTGAAATTCATCATCAAACGACCATGAACATGCATCCTTGCATCTATTTATTAGCTAGCGCGATTTCTGTTAGGTAAGGTTTTTTAAATTTTTTGATTTTGTTGAGTTATTTTTATTGCTTTTGTTATGGTTTCTTTGCATTTCTATGTTTTGGAGAATGTGGTGGTCCCACAAAATTGTTATCTGCGTGACAGCAAACATTTAATCTCGATTTCTGAGGCTTGTATATGCAGGATAACTAAAATTGGGATGTCCATTAGATTTACAATTTTGGCCTTTTCTAAATTGGTCAGAAATGTGAGTAATGAATGGACTTAATTGGTTAGAAACATTTGAGTTTCACTAGGTTGATTTTGATTGGATTTAACTTATGCAGGCAGGAACAAGGCTAGGCGATGCTTTTCTTCACCAATTGCCACATGCTTTTGGTATGTATGCGAAACAAGCTAATGCCCATATTTTTTAATTTATTTATTATAACAAGTTTTTTTCTCTACTCGTGATCTTAAAGTTTTTCTTTTTAGTTGTTTAAATCTGGAATTTGTTGAGCCTGTATTCTAATTTCATTCCGTTGCATAAATAAAGTTTTGGTTAATGAATAAATTCTTCTGCATATGGCGTAATAAACTTTGCAAAGCACTGAATATTTTGTTGATGGCATGTATCAGAATTGTTCTATTCCCTTGGCCATTAATTACGTTGTAATATTTATTTCTTTCCCTTTCTTTGGTGATGTGAGTAGAGATTACATGGGGCATGGATAATGTAGCATCTTTGGTAATTTTAATTTGAATGCATATAGACCAGCATTTGTTAGTGAGATTTAAGGAAATTTTAATTTTGTCATTGGCTGATATTAGTCTAAATCTTTTATATTTAACTTATACCTACATTATTGGTACTTGATGTGATAAACGGAAGCCAAGTTTAAGGGCCAATGATCATCTATTGATGATCATATTTGCCTTCTCGAATAACCACAAATGCTCAAGTATCCTCGATGGAACAAATCTTTTCTGATCTCTGCCATCTATTATTTTCTTGCCTTTTTTAAAAAAAAAAACCGAATGTGACTATGTTAAATATTATGAATTTATGATCTTGTGGATAATTCTATTTTGTTAATTTAGGTGGTATGAATGGCTCTGTAGTTTATGAACTCGACAGACCTGAGAATGTAGGTCCTAAGAAGTCCCTTAAAGACAAGGGGAGAGTTTGGTACTCCACTGCGGCTTTCTCTACCACCTCCGGCAGCATTAGATAAATTTGTGATTTTCAAATAATTTAATTTAGCATCCTTCGCCTCCTCAACCACCACATAATAACCAAAGAAATCTTAAGAATAAATATAAAGATCATAATAAAGCTTTAATCAGATGAGAGAAGGGAGTATCTTAATCTCAATTGCTAATTACATTAATAGACGGGCATATTTAATCATTATGAAAGAAAACTACAATAAACATAAATACAACTTGAAAATTTAATTGTTAATAGGAGTTGCAAACTAACAAGAAAATGAGATGAAGAAATACCCAGGGAATCAATTTCGAGGTAGGTTTTTCCATGGTTGAATGATCTGGGCTTGTAAACTGCAGCTCCAAGCTTGCGTTCTGCTTCAGGTTCTAATTTTCTTGACCAAAACAGCCTCATAAGTTATAAATAATCCCTTAGGATCACTGTATTTCTTGCTGACTAGAGCTTTTATATTTTAAGCTTCAAGTTCTCTAGGTTGGATGGTCATTTAGGATTTTGCATTCTGGTCTTTTCTTGTGTAGAGGATTTATTCACCTTCAATTATGTACTTCTAACTAGAAAAGTGAACTTTTTTGGTACTAAAGAGTTTAAAACTAGCCAGTTTATCCATTTCTAGTTCGTTTATGCATACATGATACATCGTAGTTGGTCGAGTTTGAGTATCGTGGGTTAGTCTGGCGATGTTGGCTTCATTTAATACCATAGGCAGCAGTTTTTAATCAAACCGAGATAGCTTTTGCTCTCATGGATCATGGAACAAGCATGGTCTGCAAGAATTTCCAAGGCAAGTGATTTTCATATCTTGTACTTCTTCAGTTTGATTGGTTTGTAGGACAGTCTTACGGTTTTGGAACACAGATAAATGTGTTGTTACTTTAATTGTTCCCTTGGGAGTTAGAAAGAAAGCATCATGTAAATTCATAACCTAACCTCTGTATTGTGCAACCAAGCAAACAGCCCCCATACTCTGTTATTTATGCCATTCTGCAAGCAAATATGACCTATTTTTACTTTTTTGCCCGTCTTCTATTAGATAGTGTATTCTGTAAGTTTCAGTTGGCATGTT